ATCTGTCTGTGCTAATTCTGCTATCTGATTGGATGAGACAAAGAGCCTGTTACAAACATTTACTTTAAGTTTACGCCATCAATACGTCCTCGAGTGTTGCCACTTTAGCTTTTTGTGATGAAAAAATATTTTTTTCTACACAATTCACAGCCAAGCGATTACTCGATTAATCGTAAAAATAATCGATAGATTAATCAATTACAAAATAATCGTTAGTTGCAGCTCTATCCCCGAGACATCCTGAAAAAGAATGAAATGGTTGGCTTGCTGGTGTGATTTTAGCAGAACATACTTACTGTTCCGTTTTGGCCTATTAATCCTCTTCACGCTTAAAGGAGCGATATGTAAAAATCTGTCCAAAAGTGGTAATGCACTCTCCCTGACTCAGGTTGCCAGATATGCAGACGAATCGAGCTGGGACCATAACAGCTGAATATACAAGAGTTTTGTCAACAACAAATCTATAACCAACACCTTTTTCACAAAGATAGAAATCCTGGTTTTATTCCTTGTTTTGTCGTTAATGATTTGAGAATCATAACGAGACCCTTTTTATGTTCTGCGCCACATGGTACTTTACCAGTGAGATTAGCTCCACTGGTAAAGTAGCAAAAAAGCAACAAAAAAATGATTTTGGAAGTTCACACTTCCATCGCCTTAAAAATGGCTCCAGTTAATTTTGTCCATATTTGGCTTCTACGTGTAATCACTAGGAGGAGCTGTGTTTGCTGTTTCCTGTCACCATAGCAGACTTTTGCGATCATTATTTAGTGAGTAAAGCAGAACTACGCCACCAAATAATCAGTCTCTGGTTTCAGCATATCCAGGCTTTTGTCCCAGTCATTGGAGCTGCTATCTCTTGCTAGTTCTTATGCTCTCTGCTCTGCTCTGCTCTGCTTCTGTCTTCAATTAGTAGATGTTTGATAAAATATTGCTAATTACACTACTTCTTTTTTGAAAAGGTCACGTCATATACAGTGCCTTGGGAAGATATTCGGCCCCCTTGAACCTTTCAACATTTCGCCACATTTCAGGCTTCAAAGATATAAGAATTCAATTTTTTGTCAAGAATCAACAACATGTGGGACACAATCGTGAAGTGGAACGAAATTTATTGGATAATTTAAACTTTTTTAACAAATAAAAAACTGAAAAGTGGGGCGTGCAATATTATTCGGTCCCCTTGCGCTAATACTTTGTAGCGCCACCTTTTGCTGCAATTACAGCTGCAAGTCGCTTGGGGTATGTCTCTATCAGTTTTGCACATCGAGAGACTGGAATTCTTGCCCATTCTTCCTTGAAAAACAGCTCGAGCTCAGTGAGGTTGGATGGAGAGCGTTTGTGAACAGCAGTCTTCAGCTCTTTCCACAGATTCTCGATTGGATTCAGGTCTGGACTTTGACTTGGCCATTCTAACACCTGGATACGTCTATTTGTGAACCATTCCATTGTAGATTTGGCTTTATGTTTTGGATCATTGTCCTGTTGGAAGATAAATCTCCGTCCCAGTCTCAGGTCTTTTGCAGACTCCAACAGGTTTTCTTCCAGAATGGTCCTGTATTTGGCTCCATCCATCTTCCCATCAATTTTAGCCATCTTCCCTGTCCCTGCTGAAGAAAAGCAGGCCCAAAGCATGATGCTGCCACCACCATGTTTGACAGTGGGGATGGTGTGTTCAGGGTGATGAGCTGTGTTGCTTTTACGCCAAACATATCGTTTTGCATTGTGGCCAAAAAGTTCAATTTTCGTTTCATCTGACCAGAGCACCTTCTTCCACATGTTTGGTGTGTCTCCCAGGTGGCTTGTGGCAAACTTTAAACCAGACTTTTTATGGATATCTTTGAGAAATGGCTTTCTTCTTGCCACTCTTCCATAAAGGCCAGATTTGTGCAGTGCACGACTGATTGTTGTCCTATGGACAGACTCTCCCACCTCAGCTGTAGTTATCTGCAGTTCATCCAGAGTGATCATGGGCCTCTTGGCTGCATCTCTGATCAGTCTTCTCCTTGTTTGAGATGAAAGTTTGGAGGGACGGCCGGGTCTTGGTAGATTTGCAGTGGTCTGATACTCCTTCCATTTCAACATAATTGCTTGCACAGTGCTCCTTGAGATGTTTAAAGCTTGGGAAATCTTTTTGTATCCAAATCCGGCTTTAAACTTCTCCACAACAGTATCTTGGACCTGCCTGGTGTGTTCCTTTGTCTTCATGGTTCTCTCTGCGCTTTAAACAGAACCCTGAGAATATCAAAGAGCAGGTGCATTTATACGGAGACTTGATTACACACAGGTGCATTCTATTTATCATCATCAGTCATTTAGGACAACATTGGATCATTCAAAGATCCTCACTGAACTTCTGGAGTGAGTTTGCTGCACTGAAAGTAAAGGGGCCGAATAATATTGCACGCCCCACTTTTCAGTTTTTTATTTGTTAAAAAGGTTTAAATTATCCAATAAATGTTGTTCCACTTCACGATTGTGTCCCACTTGTTGTTGATTCATGACAAAAAATAAAAAATGTATATTTTTGTTTGAAGCCTGAAATGTGGCAAAAGGTTCAAGGGGGGCGAATACTTTCGCAAGGCACTGTAGTTTATGAGTAAAAAATAGCCTTGTGGTGCTTTCCCCCATCATTTTAATGAGCTAAATGCTATCAGCTGGATCTGCCCTAGTTTTAGTACATATTAAAATATAAAATACAGCAACAACTTTCACCTGGCAGTTCCATTTCCTCACCTTATGTCACAAGAAGATTCAATTGATTGGTTAACACACCTTGATTTCACGCAAAAGTTGCTGCTTCACTCTTGGCACACGTCAAAGTGTCTATTGCGCCATTTGTTCTGCTCTAGTCGCTCAAATTAGAGGTGGGCATAATACTCTAGTTTTTTTGAGAAAATTAAAGGCGTTTTAGTGCGACAAATACGGTACATTACATATTGAAGTTAATGTGTGGATGTTTGTGTGTAATTCTGTCGTCTTGTTTCTTAGCCCGCCCACCAGTCAAAAGAGAAAAGTGGAAAGAAGAAGAGGTCTGCGCTGTTGAGAAGCACCTGATGTCATTCATAACCACCTGTCGTGTTCCAGGGAAAAAAGACTGCGATAAGTGTCTGCAAAACGAAAAGGAAGCACTCAAAACCAGAGATTGGTTGGCTGTAAAATTTTATGTAAAAAACAGAATAACAGCCCTCAAAAGAAAGGTTTAAAAATGATTTTGTTCAAACACGTTCACTGATGCCAATATTAGTATATGGCACTGTAAACAGTAATAGTTATAGGTTTGTGTATGTTATTCTACTAATTGAACCTTCTTCTAATAGGGTTATTTTCCTAGGCAAAAGTTTGTGGATGTTATTCTACTAATGGACCCTTCTGAAAGGGTTGTTTTCTCGAATGTATAAACATTACATTTTGTTAAATATATTGTCTGATTTTCTATTACTTTACAGATTTGAGTATACTCACCCCATAAATAGGATTTAAATAATTCAATTCAATTTATTTTGTAACGTCCAAAATCACAACAGTCGTCTATGAGGTTGTAACAGAAATTTTCGCTTTATCAACAACAGAAAGTCCAAACAGTCGTACAGATGTCCTGGTATGTATTGCACTAAAAGTAGCTTAAAACCTGACAGTGTGTATGTGTGGGGCTAAAAGTAGCTTAAAACCTGACAGTGTGTATGTGTGGGGCCAAAAGTAGCTAAAAACCTGACAGTGTGTATGTGTGGGGCTAAAAGTAGCTAAAAACCTGACAGTGTGTATGTGTGGGGCTAAAAGTAGCTAAAAACCTGACAGTGTGTATGTGTGGGGCTAAAAGTAGCTAAAAACCTGACAGTGTGTATGTGTGGGGATAAAAGTAGCTAAAAACCTGACAGTGTGTATGTGTGGGGCTAAAAGTAGCTAAAAACCTGACAGTGTGTATGTGTGGGGCTAAAAGTAGCTAAAAACCTGACAGTGTGTATGTGTGGGGCTAAAAGTAGCTAAAAACCTGACAGTGTGTAAGATTGGGCATCACAAGTATAGCAATACTTGCTAAGTCCCCAGAAGTATAGTAACAGTCTGGTGTGGGACAATATTTTGGAAATCTTGGATTTTGAGGTGGTATTCCTGTTTAGGGCCTCCAGGGGGCCATGCCTGATTTTTTTGGCTGCTGTCAACCCTACAGAAAGGCTGGGTCCCACAATGCATGTCCTGGTCTGGTGGTCCCACAAAGTGATAAAGACAAGTATGTGTGTGTGTGCATGTGTGTGTGTATGTGCACATGTGTGTGTGCATGTGTGTGCGTATGTGCACATGTGTGAGTGTGTGTGCATGTGTGCGTGTGTATGTGCACATGTGTGAGTGTGTGTACTGTGTGTGTAAGTGTGAGTGTCTATAAACGTGTGAGCCGGTGAGTGTGCGAGTGTGTATGTGTGTGTGAGCGTGTGTGTATATGTGCAAGTGTGTGAGCCTGTGTGTATATGCGTGTGATCCCGTGTGTATGTGCCAGTGTGTGAGACTGTGTGTGTGTATGTACGTTGTGTGAGCTTGTGTGTGTGTGTGTGAGCATGTGTGTGTATGCAAGTGTGTGTGTGTACTGTGTGTGTGCATGTGTACACACATGTGTACTGCGAGTGCGTATGTGTATGTGTGTATATGTGCAAGTGTGTGAGCCTGTGTGTATATGCGTGTGATCCTGTGTGTATGTGCCAGTGTGTGACCAGTGTGTGAGTGTGTGTGTGGATGTACATTGTGTGAGCCTGTGTGTGTGTGAGAGCGTGTGTGTGTATGTACGTATGAGCAAGTGTGTGAGCCTGTGTGTGTATATGCAAGTGTGTGTGTGAATGTGTGTATGCTTGAAGAGGAGTGTGAGACTTGGAGCTAACATGTGTCCCCATCTTGTTTACTGCTGTGATGTGGTCACGTCTGGCTTCTCAGGATGCGCCGGAGCCAGAGTGTGTTTGGCTGAGATCTGAGTTGTGTTGTCAACAGCAGTGAAGGAAAGCTGGAAGTTTCACCTCCGGCAGAGTCGAAGTTGGGAATGCCGTGAAGGATGATGCAGTGCAGGAAAAGTGGAGAGGGATTGATCTTCATGGAACCACTGAGGAGGCTGTTGAGAATCCACACGTATCTGCAATGAAGAAAAAAACAGATATATTTTTATTTCTAACAGATTACCATGGTCTCATAATATACTTGCTCAAGGTTTTTATATTGATCTTAGACAACTTAATAATATAGCTCTACACCTGACCTGCTTGGCTTTCCCACTGAAGCTAAGCAGAGCAGCGCCTGGTTAATACTGAGATGGGAGGCCTCTGGGAACAACAGGTGCCACAGTGGGGCAGCTACGGGTATATACAGTGCCAAAAATGACATTGTGTGTTTTGTTTTTATTTTAAATCCATATTAGTTACTGTAATATAGAGTAGATATTCTTCATGGGGTCTATATACTCACATATATACAATGAATGTACAATGGACACAAATGAATAATAAAAAAAAGCTCATGAGGCAAGAGCTGTGGTGTGTGCCGTCTTCTCTGTCTGGTGCACACTGGGGTAGTCTTGCACAGCGAGAGGCACATACTGGTTGCCTCGCTTCTGTCAGTGGCATTTGCAGCAGGTAAATTTCCATTTCTCAGGCGAAATTAGGCATTTGCAGCCGGTAATTTTCAAATTTGGAACCAAAAAAACAAACAAATTCAACTCATCTCTGTGGGCGGCACAGTGGCTGAGTGGATAGCACTCTCGCCTTTCAGCAAAAAGGTCCTGGGTTCGAATCCCGGTCGGACCAGGGCCTTTCTGAGTGGAGTTTGCATGTTCTCCCCGTGTCTGCGTAGGTTTCCTCCGGGTACTCCGGTTTCCCCTACCACTTAAAATATGTCCAATCGTTCTGGCATGCGCCTCCTGTACTGGCCCCGCTCCCATCTCTGTGTGGAGTGAGAGGACCAGTGCCCCTAATTAACAATTGTAAACCGCTTTGAGACTCAGATCTGCAGTGAAAAGGCGGTATATAAATAAAGATTACTTACTTACTACTACTCTATGGTGGAAGAATAGAGAGTTACAGATGGAAAGCATACATATTTCACCATATATTTTCTACTTTCTGATATTATTTCCTAAAACATATAGTCATTTTTAACGGCCAAAGATAATGCAAGATAATATTTCATCTTTGAATAACCACAGAAAGCCTTTTTAAAAAATTTTTTTATCAATGCAAACAAAATTAGAAGCCTCTGTATTGAATCAGATGGGACCACACACACATGAAAACAAAATTGTGAATGGAGGCTACGGTACAGTGCCCCGGTCAAACAGCAGCTTACCTAGACAAACAAGCAGGGCGTGCGCGTGTTTTGGGTGCTTACCGCTTTTGCGAGGGTGTCATCAGCGCCGAGACCTTATCATCGTAGTATTTCCTCATGGCAAAGCGGTCCAGGGCCTGATCAGCACTTTTGGGGGAGAGAGGGATACGCAGTGTTAGGGTAATTACCGTAATGCATACCCATCTTGAATCGCCGCGACGCAGACAAACACTCATGCATACGAGAGTGAAAGTAAGTGAGGAGACAAAAGGCGCCCAGCAGAGAGGAAGAGAATGCCCGATTTAAGCAAACAGAAAAAAGGGGGAACAGATGGAGGCGGTAGTGTGTGCTCAGCTCGGCTATTCAGGCCGCCCTAAAACTAACACGGCCGTTTCATTATGGGCTCTTCCTCCATTGTAAGTTCACCTCATTGTTTTGCTATCTCTTCCCCTACCTCTTGCTTTTCACATTCACCTTACCGACCCCGTTATTCTCAGCGGGAAACAAGCAACATGGGGAGTTTGGAGTGGTTCCAATTTGTGTGTGTGTGTGTGTGTGTGTTAGAAGGGCACAATGACGGCTGTGTGCAGAAGGGATCTACGTGCTGGCATTACACACTCCAAACGTTTGCTACATGTTGCGACTTAAGAAATGCAGTTATCTAGTTTGATTGGAACTTGATACTTAGACAAAGTTTCTATTGGGGCTTTAAACATGTGCATGTGTCTTTGTAATTTTTAAATAAAACTGATACTTCATATAATCATCTATGTTTTTATTAAGTCATCTTTTTCTATATCAGAGCCTTACACAGACAGAATCACAAAGCACTTTACAATTGTTGTAGGCATTTGTCCTCTTACTCCACACAGTGATAGAAGTGGAGTCGCTGTACAAGAGGTATGTTTTTAGTGCTAGAAGCACGGGGAGAACATGCAAACTCCACACAGAAAGGCCCTGTCTGGAGGTGGAACCAAACCCAAGAACCTTCTTGCTGTGAAACACAAATACTAACCACTATGCCGCCTAGTGGGGTAAACTCGCCTCTCCACAGATATGACCTGCCCCTTGTGGCCAAGTGATGTCATTCGATTGTCTTTGATGTTGCTCATATCTAAATAATGCACATATATATTATTTTTGTTTTGTTGATTTCGCTGAAACCGAAAACTTTAATAGAAATTATTTTCTACGGAATGTAGCATTTTCAATACATTTCTATGGAGTGAAAGAATAATGACACGTGAAGCAGCTTTGAGTGTCCAAAAAAGTGCGATATAAAACGGATGAATTATTTTTTATTTATCTGTGACAAAGCTAGCCTGATCTTACCACACCATCGTACACAGGAGTTTACGGATGGCTAAGGCTATGACAGAGCCATCAAAAAGAAAGAGAAATGTATGACTACTGTCTGTCAAAATATGGATGAATCCAAATAAAAAGCAGGTCCTTTTCAATAATAAATGTTTTCTATATTAAAATACAAATAGTTGATACAAAAGTAAGTTAAGGAAAGCTTTTTTGATATCACAAAATTTTACAACTATGGTTAGTTTTTTAATGCAGTGTTTTTCGACCAGTGTGCATTGAAAAGTTTGGTCTGCTTTCGGAAATGATCCAATAACATCTGATCGGACGAAGTAATGTGAGAATGTTTGTGCAAGTTTGATTCTCTTTAAAAACCCTTTGATGAGAATGACTTTGCAGAGTTAAAAAGGCTGCAGAGTTTCATGTCTGTATCAGTTTCAGCTGGTGGTGAGCACTGTGCCATGAGAGTGTTCTTAAAGGAAGAGGTGTGACACGGCTCAAAGAGGATGGGGAACACTGGAGTAATAAGTGAGGGATTTTAGATCATTCTAAAAAAGTATAGGCTCCCCATTCTAATAATCATTTGCAAATACAGATAAAGTATGATCAACATCAGATTGTGATATTAAAACTTATCAGAAACGTTTTACTTGAAAAAAGGACAATACAATATTCATTCTTTAAACGGTTTATGCCCATGATCGTAAAATAATATGGAGCTGATCCCTTTGCTATTGTGACTTTAGGGCTTTGAAACTTCACAGCAGCCATATTAAATGAATTTGAAGCACAATAGCTGAATAGATTTCACGACACCGACACTTTGGCCAGGAGCACTTACAGTAAGTCGCATGTTTTCATGTTGATTCATGAAACTCTACACGGGGGTTATTCATGGACCATAATCTGTGGTTTTCCAAAGAACCAGACTGAGTCACCTTGACCCAAAATGAAGAGGGCTAAAGACATCTACATGTGGTTGTACAATGACTTGGTTTTTTTTTGGCCAAATGAGTCGACAGAAATGCTGTGGGTTGGTTGTGATGTTGTTGAATGAAAACACACATTGGTTTAAACATAGAAGAGATAACAAAATTCTATTAAAATGGGGACGCTGGTCTGTTTTGACCTTTTAATCATATTAGTTCCACCACGCCATGTTCTTAAACGATTTGAACTTTGTCAGTGTAGAAGCCCATCTCACATTTTCAGGAAGACTTCCAAATGTTAGCTCCGTAAATCTGAAACTCTGCCTCCCCATGTTTAGTCCTGACTCTGGGCACCAGCGGGAGGCCAGTCACTGTGCTCCTCAGAGTCTGAGTTGGTTCATATGGGACTAACATGTCACACAGACTTTGGTGTAAGGTCATGGAGAGACTTGTACACAAGCTGCTAACTTTTACTAACAATTGTGTATCATTTTGAGAACAGTTATGTGCCTTTTAAAACGTGCTGTATTGTCTCCAAATTCATTAAAGCTATTTCTCGGTTGTAAGTTCTTTAAAACCTTGTGACTGCAACTTTAAGAAAATGCCTCTCTCTGGATGTAGAATTGAGGAAATACATTTTGAGATAATCTTATAAACATATTAATCCGTATTATATTTTCTCCCTACATAATTTCACACTCAAAAACACAAAATACCAAAGCAAATTCATTGTAATGTTTAAGGGACGATAACAATGCATAAGAGGTCTAATTTAAGTAAGAATCTGTCTGCCTAGTATTATATATTTGGTAAATTTAAAGTTCAAAATTGACATTGTTATTCAACAGCACTGAACATGTGGTCCCAAACACGAAATAACAAGTTAATAAAAAGACTTTTTTTTCTTATCGTAAAACTGACATTAAGCTAGCAAAGTAAGTGAAAGTGTGAATGAAAGTGAAAGAAAGTGACAAGGAAAACCGGGTAAACAACCAGAAATCAGCTTGAATAACCAGGAAAACTGTATAAATAACCAGAAAAAACGAGTCAAGAACTGTAAAAAGTGTTGCGACGGTTTTCCATGGTATGTCTCCTTTAATTACAGCCTCATAGAAGTGGTTACTGGTGGTTACCTGGCTGACACATCCGTGAAGTGGACGAACGAGGAGATGACTACCCCAATGCGTCCCTTTCCACCCTACAGAAAAAAAAACATGCAACAGGATATGATTCATGTTATATAGGATTACATTATCTAAGCAGGAAAAGGCTGTGGGTAATGCATAACTCTGTCCCAGCACTCACTCGACAATGTATCACCACCACATGCAGAGGGTCCGCGTTCAGCCAGCTCTCCATGGCCTTGCAGATGGTACAGATCTTATCGAGCGGTGGGGCGTGTTGGTCAGGCCAGCCCGTGTCCAGAGTCTAAAATAAAACAACAGAATAATCAACTGAGTGATGTGGAATGATTCAAGAGCAAGCAGGTGAAACACGGACATGTAGATTATTGTCCAAAATTCAGTTCAATCCAGTGTATGTCTGTATAGCCCTAAATCACAACAATAGTCATTTCAGTGTACGCTACAAAACTGTTGAATTCGGAAACACAGATCATAGAATCAAACAGTTTAAATACAAGGAATGCAATGGTAAAAAACACATAGAGACATTGGTCCAGATCGGGGCAGATGACCAATGTTCATAAGCCTTTGTTTGGTATCATTTTGATGATTATGGCTTACAGTCCAATATTCAAATTTTCTGAGGTTAGATTCTGAGACTTTTTGGGGTTTTTAGAGGCTGTGAGCCAATTATCAACATCATAATGAATAAAGGCTTGATGTATCTCACTTTTACCTGTAATGAGTCATATTTCACATTGTACGTTGAATTACAGAAGTAAATGGAATTTTGAATGATGTTATTATTTTCAGAGTTACTATTTGTATATGTATAGGAATAAATGAATCAGAACGAGAATCATAAGATATTTAGATGGTAAAAACTATGTCTTTGGAAAATCACACTAAAAACACAGACTATCAATGGATAAGATTTAGTTTTTATCAATGATTCAAATTTTCATATGCATCAGAAATCTGTGTAACGTGGAATTTTGTACCATTTCTAACCATTGTTGATTTACTGTGTGCATTAAAACTGCCGTGTATAATAAAAACGTTTTTGTACATACCTTGGGGTTCATTCTGGACAGATCACTCCTCCTCTCCGATAGGTTGATAATCTGAACAACAAAACTCAAGTGTCAAATCTGGTATTTACTTAGAAAACTGCCATGACATTCAATTCAAAAGGAAAAAATATATTATTGAAATTTGACATTAGAAAAACGCATACAAATTCTAATGTTCCATGTTAAATTTGGCCTTCAAACCTGATCTTGGAATATTTATTTTGGCTTTTTGTGTTTTAGTAAGTATATGGATGATGACATGGAATGAGAAACGTACTATTCAAAAAGAGTAGGTATTGCACCAAAAAAAAAGCGTCCAAAGGCAGGGGGGACGAATTGAAAAACAAGATATCATCGCACACCAAAATGGCCAAAATACAGTGTGCATTTTGACCATTATTATTATTATTATATTATATTATTATATTGGCCATTATTATTATTATACAGGCTTCAGCAGATATTTATTACTCTTTCTTTGGACCACAAAACACTCTGGCACATCAAAGCCCCCAACCCACACAATCCATTCACTCACTCATTACATTCAGACCTATTGTACATGATATTTAGTGATAGGGGAAACCGGAGTACCCGGAGGAAACCTACGCAGACAAGGGAGAACATGCAAACTCCACTCAGAAAACCCTGTTCTGACCAGGATTCGAACCCAGGACCTTCTGGCTGAGAGGTATGGGAGCAAAGAAAAAGGTCCAAAAGGCAAGGGGGGTGAATTAAAAAAAACAAGAAATCATTGCATTTATACAGGCTTCAGCAGATTATTATTGTTCTCTTTTTTTGGACCACAATACGGATTATTAAAATCTGGAGAGGTTGTCAGGAGGACTAAGTTCAATTGTATGGCACGGCCTAAAAGAACATTGTTATACGCTCAAGAACGACCATTTAGAATATTATGACAGGCACTGACCAGGTAATTATCGGCGTGTTTGGACTTGAGCATCCGGGTGACATCTTTGAGGTTGTGGGCGTAGATTTCCTCGGAGCAGCCGCGGGGGAAGGACACGGCGATAATTCTCTCTGTGATGTACGTCAAATCCAGTTCGTATCCCTCCTCCATTTCAAGTCTGTGTCCGACCTGCCAAACAAAGAGGTGCTTCAGAGGAGCTTTCTCACACCGTTTTCAACACATTTGAGTCAATATTTGCCGGTCAAAGTCTGAGGATTTCATCATACTGTGGAGGAGATATTTTTACAGTATAACGGACAGTATGAGGACAGAGACGAGCCTTGTTTGAAGAGAGAACGGTTTGAGATAGAAAATGTGCTATGTATGAGTCACCTGGTCAGACGTTAAACTGTGGGTAAATACTTTGATTTGTATAAAAAAAAAATCTTCACTACAAAACCATTCATGATATTCTTTGACCTAATTAAAACATATGGTCTACAATTAGGTTGTAATTTCAATTTCTTGACATTCTCTCCCTCAAAAAAAAAAAAAACAGAGTATTTATTAACCCTCAACAAATGTGGCCTATAGTCTCATCTGTTGTGTTGTTTTGTATCGGTAAAAATATCAGTTAGAATAGCATTATTTATCCTGAAGAAATGCACAGATAAGAAAATATTCTTGGATTGACTCAAAACCTGGTATTGTAGGTATTGTAAAGGTAAATGTATAATGTAATTTTTCCAGCAATCTAATTATTATAAATTGGGTTTTGGGTTCAATGCAAAGAGTAAAATGATTGATTGTGTTGTCTTGTTGGGTAAATAAGCGTTAACATATTTTATAAGATTGCAAGTATAAGTAAGTAAGTAATGTTTGTTTTTATAGTGCAGATTGCTGGTATTGAGAAAAAATACATTCAGTCCATTCAGTTTTGTGTCTACTTAAACGTACACAACATTAGCCATGGCTTGTTTCTGAAGTAGCTCGAGTCCTTTGGCGCGAGCTCACAATTGCTATCAATGTTTTACAGATGTGCAGTTGCTTCCGTCCTCTTGAGCCGCAGTCACTCGAGCAAACATCTCTCTGGTAAAAAACAGCAAAACAAAACTGGAGAAGAGAGTGGAGCCTGGATCCGTGGAGCGCCAGGTTTGTATGCACGACCAGGAAAACTGATTCTTGGCACTTTATCTTCCTCCCACTCTTTTGGGTTTTAATAATGCACAAAATTATAATAAGTAATTGTTCATGAATGATATGTCAGAAAACTCTATGAAGTGACATCTGATAATAATGTTTGATGTGCCTTGAACTCGAAATGAATAAAACACTCAACTCTGTACATCTCACAGCTATAGGAGCTCTTTGGTCCCTGCTGCTGTCAGCTTGTACAATGAACACTGTTTATGGGGGGTTATTCCACTGCACCACTGTTCCTGTTAGAGGCCCTAGCGGTGCAACTTAACTTATTCTTTCGTTACGTATTTGTCTTACTAACTTAGGTAGCTGTACTACCTTTTTCAATCGGAGAGCTACTTTTACACAGAAAAGGCAGAGCTACTTCTTTTTTAAGTCGTAATAAAACTATGCAATTATTACGACAAAATATGGAGAACACATGTAAAATATATCATAATACTCTATAAACCCATATTTATACTTGTAATAGATATGCAATGACTAAAATTTAATCATTGGAGATCATGTGTTAAATTCTAAATCCTTTTGGGAGCTACCTGAAAGAAGAAGGCGAGCAACTGGTAGCTCCCGAGCCGCAGGTTGGAGACCCCTAGTATCTGCAGTCTATAGTAAGTAGTAAGTAGTAAGTAAGTAATCTTTATTTATATACCGCCTTTTCACTGCAGATCTGAGTCTCAAAGCGGTTTACAATTGTTAATTATGGGCATTTGTCTCTCACTCCACACAGAGATGGGAGCGGGGTCGCCAGTACAGAGGCGCATGCCTGAACTATTGGACATATTTTTAGTGGTAGGGGAAACCGGAGTACCCGGAGGAAACCTACGCAGACACAGGGAGAACATGCAAACTCCACTCAGAAAGGCCCTGTAGTTGATTCCCATTTGTAGTTGATTCCCATTTGTATCAACTACAAATGGGAATTTGGCTTTTCCCCTCGTAGGAAAAATAAAGCATATCTGTTCTATTTTTAATTCAGGATAGATTAATTACATAAAATTAAAAAGGCCAAATACTGGTTATCTAATTTAATGATGTATATAACAATGTCATTTTCAATTCAAATCCTGTATCTGAACAACTACTGTACATTCAGCCAAACAAGCTAAATCTATCTGCCAATGAGTCACTGATGTTATTTTTACTTCACAAAAATACTTCATGACTCGCGTTAATCTATCGGGCAGCCAGTGACGAACAATCCGGTTCAAACCAGTAGCTGAAACGCCCTGAGTGTTGGCATAGTCCTGAACTTGGTGAAGCCCAGAGAGCCAGTGTCTATCCAGGCCACAATGCCACACCCACAGACAGACACAGCCCCTTCAGTCTTATCTAGTCATCTCTGGCTGACCTCTGCACTCAACTAATGCATCCTGCAAAAACAACAAGCACTGTATTTAGAAGAGCGCCCACAAGGGAGAAAAAACCCTAAACTGTGACATTAAGTTTCAGGTTTCTACATCTGAGTAATGTAGCAGTGAACGGAAAGTGTAGCAGCGAGAGCTTTGATACTTTGTCCTGGACGAGGCAGAAGGAAGTGTTCCAGAGTGAAGTGGGTGACGACAGAGTTTTCTATCATTGTATCTTTATAAAAACATGAGTAAATACGTACAACGTTTAAATTCAGTACACTTGGATTTGACACGCCTGATCTGCAGTAATTCTAAAAGTGGGGGTCACGTGACACTAGTTGGGGGTTGATGTGTTTTAATGCTTTTAAAAATAATTTTCACATTTTGGTTTTATAAATCATTATTATAAGTTATATTAGATCAAAGAGCACAAAAAATACATAGACATTATAATAATAAATGTAGCCTGTTGTCTGTAGTAGTTTATTTCATTATTTTCTAAATAAAACCTGCACACACAAACAATAAAAAAATAAATGTATTTGTAGTTTAATTTAATCATTCATCTTCTGAGAGAGAAATTGGAGCAGGAGGTCGGTAGCCACATATAAATTTAGCATGTTTATAAAACATGTACATACATTTCAGACTAAGATTTTGATTCTTCTTCTTCTTAACCTCCCCGCCGCCACTGCTCTTTATAACGTCACTTTACTTCACTGTACTGCTGTCACCTTACGTTGTGTGCACCATGTGCACTGTATATTGTATGTAGTAATTGTAACTCTATTTAAATAAGTGTTTTTTATTATTTTTATTTTATTTTTATTATCTCTTTCTAACTGTTGCACTGAGCCAAAGCAATTTCCAAGTCTGTGACTTCCTGTTACTTACTGTACGTGGCAATAAAAATGATTCTGATTCTTCGAATTATTCATTTATTCAATTGCAGAATACATAAGTCGTGAATTTGTTTCGTTCCCATTTCTCTGGTCCTGACTCCCGGACTGAAACGTTTGGCTAAGACCTGGTCTAATATAAGGTACTTATTATACAGTTATGGCTAAAGCAAATGTGATAAATCACATGATTCTGAGAGGCTGTCCCAGAGGTGAGGAGTTCATTCACATGAAGCAGAGCCACTTCTCCTCCAGGTCCAGAAGCATTAGTTAATGTCAGTGTGGAGACTCTTCTCTGGATTTAGATTCATATCTCCTCGCCCAGCACAGGATAAAGCTGAAGAGAATGGATGGATAATTTATAATCATCAAACCTGATGGTCAACATTGAGTCTGTCAAACCTAATGATCGGTGCTTTTATTTCTGCCAGACTCTGTGTACTGTGGTTGTGTGTCAGAGACAAGACTGCTGTTGTTGCAACAAAATGTACACGTGATATTGACCCAGGTTGTGATGCATTGGTAGAAAACTAGAAATACTCATCAATTATGCAATTATCAAAGGAACAACCAGTATTCTAGAATATGGCAAACATATTATTATCATTGTCTCCACGTATATTACACAAGCTGCTTTATATATGGCTTAAACAACACATTCCAGCAGCAGTCAAAGATACTGTAGACCCTCCTCCTGCGCGTCCTGCCTCAATGACCCTGATTGTTTGTTGTGATGAAACACTCCTCACTTAAGAATGTCTGTGTCAATTAGGACTGAGATAACTGCAGGCTAGCACCAAACGCTTGGGAGGCCGAAAGACCCAAAGTCGTAAAAGAGGGTGCAGTAGTGCGACCACAGCTCAGAAAAGCATTGCCTCATGGGAAAAAAGCGGGGGTGGGTCCAGAGACACAGGGCAGAGAAAAACATGACGAATGGGAAATTGATGAACAGGTTGATCAATGCTTAGATAGCGTGGTCCACCGTGTGCCTCGAGGCGAGAAGGGGAATGATCTTTGACACGTTCACAATATCAGCAAAGTACTGCGCAAACTAATTCTTGGAAACCGTCTTGGAAACCGTCTTGGAAACCGTCTTGGAAACCGTCTTGGAAACCGTCTTGGTAACCGTCTTGGTAACCGTCTTGGTAACCGTCTTGGTAACCGCCTTGGTAACCGCCTTGGTAACCGCCTTGGTAACCGCCTTGGTAACCGCCTTGGTAACCGCCTTGGTAACCGCCTTGGTAACCGCCTTGGTAACCGCCTTGGTAACCGTCTTGGTAATCTTCTTAGTAACCATCATAGTACTTGTCTTAGCACTCGTCTTAATAGCTCCTTTTTATGCTTACAGACAACAGTTTATACATTTTCATCCAAATACTCGATCTGCTCGGATAGAAGGAGATGGAGGAGTCAGGACTTCAGCACAGAACGAGTAGTAGGAGAGAGGTGCGGTCAGAGAGTGTTTGGGCCTGTGTCTTGTTGTGTGTTGCACTTGTGTCAAGTGGGTGTGTTGTGTTGTGTGTGTGATTGTGTCGAGTTGTGTTGAATGTGTGAGAGGGGTTAGAGCCAAATAAGCGCCTGCTTCGTCCAGCCTCTTTTTCAAACGGTTTATTTCTGTTTATTTTGTATGTTATTATTATTATGTTGGTTTGGTGTATGAGGGGCTGGTGCTCTGGACTGGGTGCAGCTCTGACTGTCACCCCCCGACCCAGAAATGGATTAAGGGGAAGAAAATGGA